TGCTGCTCCTGCTGAAGTTCCTCCTTGGGGCGCTGCCATGCCTTGTAATTAATCTTCCAATTGATTGGAGGACCCGAAAGCACCCAATAACCACCAGGTCTGAGAACACGGTCGACTTCCATCAGGTATATTCCATCTGCAAATATGAAAAAATATATTATCAGTTCACCGTAATTATTGCCAATACTAATGCTGACTTGTTCAGATAGAAGAATGTTAAATGCTATACCGAATTTGCAAATTGATGAATACCAGAACGACCCAGCTTTAAATTTAAAGCAGCAAAAAACTTAACCATTTGTATGTCCACAAAGAAATTTATTTCAATACATTATTCTCACCATTTGCACCCCATGGAATTAAACAACGAGAACAGTGAGCCATGTCAAAGGCCCTAGATGGATATGGCAACTTAATTGTACCAAGAACACCAACAACTGCAGGAACACCCCTCTCAAGAGCAAATTGGACCTGCGCTTCATGTGAGTCTCTTGGTGCAAATGACATGGCTATGACATTTCTGCTCCAGAGGTATGCACCCCAACTTGCAACCTGAGAAAATCAAAATGGATTAACTATGCGGATATAAAAAATTCAAATAAAGCATAAAATCTCCCCTCTAAAAGATAAATCAAGTGAAGATTTTGAAATCGCTGAGAATACCCCACAGCCAGTATCCAGTGCGGTTCTGACAGTTCCATTTGCCATTGGTATCACTGCTGCAAGCTGATCAATATACTTATCTGCACCTTGAGGAAACTGAGTTCCTCCACCAGGAAACCTAAATACATTGCCTTCGTACTGCACCCAATTCTGAATAGCCTTCTCAACTGTCAAGCTCTTGTATGGTGCATTTGCATAGGGTACATAGTCACGACTCTTGGGCCATGGAAATGGAGTTACATATCCTTTGGGTGCTGGTATAAGGCAATGTAACTTCTCTTCCTCAGGAGGACAATGTCTCTCTCGATAAATCATGTTATCCCTGGGGAAAGTCATGGCACGCTTTTGATCTTGGCAGGGCGTGTAATCAGTGTAACGAGAATGGCATGCTTCAAACACTTTGGATTTTGATTCAGACTCGTCAATTTTGCTAACTTCACCACCATGATGAGTCTCAAAACTTAAGTTAGGGACAATATTGCAATCTGCTCCACTTTTCGTGATTGCCAAAGCTATACTGTCTCCCTTACCAAAACCACTCCTTTGCCATGCACCCAATATATAGAAGAAACAACACAACCCAACTACAACAAAAATCTGGATAGAGCTCCTTGTCCTCCCATCTGCCGTTGATTTCATCGCCATGATGACCCTGAAATCATCCCCAAATTAGTTCAATGAGCGAATTGAAAAAAATAATAATTTGCAAGCTCAATAACAAATTCAGTGATCTGTATCGTTAGATCACTAAGAATGTTTGTTATGATATGGGTATTATTAATAAATTAAGTAGAAAAGC